TCAAACCTTTCCAAAAATCAGTCAAGGACTTATCCAGGCAATCTCCAGGGGTCGACACTGACTTGAAGGCACCAAACTTCAACCTTGCATCTTCAATCAGACTTATTGTCTTGAGGTTCCATCTCTTTAACATTGGATTTTCCCAGCTCTGTTCCCCCCTTGAAAAGGTGGCTTTGTCTAATGATAGAAATAACCCCAAGTACTCAAACAAGGACTTGCCAAGCTTCCCCAACAGTTGCCATCAAATCAGATCTCTAGGATTTCCGGTCTTTAACCTCCCACTTCTGTCTCAACTGGAATGGTTGCTCTCCTGACATCCACCTGACATCTACAAATGTGGTTCTTAGACATCTATTGAACACGTGCCACTTTCCTGAAGCCTTTACTATGTAAATGTCGCCCTTCCCCTTCCTTTTTAATATCTGTTTATCAATTTTAATTGTAGTTGATAATCTTTCAATGATGTTTATTTTCTTTGTCTACCACTTGTGGCTTCTGCTATAAATACAGAGGAAATGAGAATACATGTGGTCTTTCCAATTTTCCTACAGCTGCCAGAATGTTTGTCTAACTATAGTTCTTTATTATATTGTACACCCAGATAACAAGGACACTATGCATCAGCACATGTGAGTTTAGCTCAATAGCTCCATTTTTAAAAGAAGCAGCACCTCAGAAACAAATAAGGTTCTACTTTGATTTCATTGGCACTTTTGATGTGTACCACTTTTGATGTGTACATATGTACCACTTTTGTTATTCTGGACAGGTTATAGAAATTATATACTGGAGGTGAGGCTTGAATTAGTTATATTCTTGCTTGGATGGCTCGTTCCAAACAGTGGTAGTAGCAGAGTCCCATTAAGGTTTTCTTTCTTTCTTCCGTGCTACCTTTGATATTTCAATCAATTTCTGGATGAGAGAGGTCCAGAAATAACCACAAAGGATAGATGACTGAGTTTTATTTTTTTTTTCTTAACAACCATAAAGAATTATGTGATAATGGATAGAATGATGATTAGGAAATGTGAAGCTAACCGTACAAGAAGAAAATATTGGTATGCATATGTGTTCAAAGTATTCATCCAGTTCTGAATGGGGTTTTCAGAGAGATTCCTGATTCAGTGTTTCCCCTAAAAACCTGAGCAGCCTCTGTGACGAGAAATAAACATTCTTCATCAGCTTTGGTTGATAAGCTAGTTGTCGCTTTTCCTGCAGTTGACAACCTGCCCACCCTGCTGCGGTCATCTTCCAAAGTGTGTTGTTTTCAAAGAGTCTTAAAATTTCAGTGGGCCAAATAATGCTGCAAGATTTTTGGAGACGGAGCAATTTGACATGCCACTCCAGTGATTTATTAGTTGCCCAGGATGTTTCTGGGCCCAACATCTAATGTTATTTTGACTTGGGACTAAATTTTTAGAAAGGGTATGTAGTCTCACATCTTTCAGTTTGAACCATGAACGCTTTTTCAGAGGTTGTTTTATTTTATTTTTATTTTTTTGCTCCTGACATGTGAAGTAAGGAAAATGGAATGTTTTCACTGAAAAAGGAGAATAGTCTTTATACAACTAATTTTGTTATTTTGTCATCGAGTGAATTTTGTTTTATTCCCCAATCTTTTTAGGATCTGTTAATGTTTTCATTGTGTACTATAAATGTGGATTTTTAGTCATACTGTGAGTCTTCTTTCACTCTCTCCTGTTTTTTTTTAATGTCACAGTTTATAGTCATAGTTTTAGTTGTTGTTGTTGTTGTTAATTGCGAAGTCGTATCCGACCCATCGCGACCCCATGGACAATGTTCCTCCAGGTCTTCCTGTCCTCTACCATCTTCTGGAGTCCATTTAAGTTCACACCTACTGCTTCAGTGACTCCATCCAGCCATCTCATCCTCTGTCGTCCCCTTCTTCTATTGCCCTCAATCTTTCCCAGCATTAGGCCCTTCTCCAGTGAGTCCTTCCTTCTCATTAGTGGTGGCCAAAGTATTTGAGTTTCAACTTCAGGATCTGGCCTTCTAAAGAGCAGTCGGGGTTGATCTCTTCTAGGACTGACCGGTTTGAACGCCTTGCAGTCCAAGGAACTCGCAGCAGTCTTCTCCAGCACCATAGTTCAAAGGCCTCAATTCTTTGGCGCTCAGCCTTTCTTATGCTCCAACTTTCATAGCCATACATTGCAACTGGGAAAACCATGGCCTGGACAATACGCGCTGTTGTTGGCAGGGTGATGTCTTTGCTTTTTAGTATGCTGTCTAGATTTGCCATAGCTTTCCTCCCCAGGAGCAAGCGTCTTTTAATTTCTTGGCTGCAGTCCCCATCTGAGGTGATCTTGGAGCCCAGAAAAATAAAATCTGTCACTACCTCCATTTCTTCCCATCTATTTGCCAGGAATTGAGAGGGCCGGATGCCATGATTTTGGTTTTCTTAATGTTGAGTTTCAAGCCAACTTTTGCATTCTCCTTCTTCACCCGCATCAAGAGGCTCTTTAGTTCCTCTTCACTTTCTGCCATTAGAGTGGTATCATTGCATATCTTAGGTTGTTGCTATTTCTCCCGGCAATCTTAATTCCAACTTTTGATTCATCTAGCCCTGCCTTTCTCATGATGTGCTCTGCATATAAGTTAAATAGGCAGGGCGACAGTATACAGCCTTGCCGGAATCCTTTTCCAATTTTGAACCAATCAGTGGTTCCGTGTCCAGTTCTCACTGTTGCTTCTTGACCCGCATATAGGTTTCTCAAGAGACAAATGAGATGGTCTGGTACTCCCATCTCTTTAAGAACTTGCCATAATTTGTTGTGATCCACACAATCAAAGGCTTTAGCATAGTCAATGAAGCAGAAGTAGATGTTTTCTGGAACTCCCTAGCTTTCTCCATGATCCAGCGTATGTTGGCAATTTGATCTCTAGTTCCTCTGCCTCTTCGAAATCCTGCCTGTACTTCTGGTAGTTCTCGATCCACATAGTGCTGGAGTCTAGCTTGTAGGATTTTAAGCATAACTTTACTAGCATGTGAAATGAGTGCAATGGTGCAATAGTTTGAACATTCTTTGACATTGCCTTTCTTTGGAATTGGAATGTAAACTGACATTTCCAATCCTGTGGCCACTGTTGAGTTTTCCAAATTTGCTGGCAAATTGAGTGTAGCACTTTTACTGCATCGTCTTTTAAGATTTTGAATAGCTCAGCTGGAATACTGTCACCTCCACTAGCTTTGTTGTTGCTCAGATTTTCTAAGGACCATTTCACTTCACATTCTAGGATGTCTGGTTCGAGGTCAATGACCATCTCATTGTGGTTATCTGGGATGTTAAGCTCATTCTTGTATAGTTCTTCTGTGTAGTTTTGCCATCTCTTCTTAATCTCTTCTGCCTCTGTTAGGTCTCTGCCATTTTGGTCCTTTATTATGCCCATCTTTGCATGAAACGTTCCCTTCATATCTCCAATTTTCTTGAAGAGATCTCTGGTCCTCCCTATTCTGTTGTTTTCTTCTATTTCTTTGCACTGTTCATTTAAGAAGGCATTCTTATCTCTTCTAGCTACTCTCTGGAATTCTGCATTCAATTGGGTGTATCTTTCTCTTTCTCCTCTGCCTTTCGCTTCCCTTCTTTCCTCAGCTATTTGCAAAGCTTCCTCAGACAGCCATTTTGCTTTCTTGCATTTCTTTTTCTTTGGGATGGTTTTAGTTGCTACCTCTTGTACAATGTTGTGAACTTCCATCCATAGTTCTTCAGGCACTCTTCTATCAGATCTAATTCCTTAAATCTATTTGTCACCTCTACTGTATATTCATTAGGAATATGATTTAGTTCATACCTGAGTGGCCTAGTGCTTTTCCCTACTTTTTAAATTTAAGCCTAAATTTTGCAACGAGAAGCTCATGATCTGAGCCACAGTCAGCTCCTGGTCTTGTTTTTACTGACTGTATAGAGCTTCTCCATCTTTGGCTGCAGAGCACATAGTCAATCTGATTTCTGTGTTGACTGTCTGGTGATGTCCATGTGTAGAGCCGTCTCTTGGGTTGTTGGAAAAGAGTGTTTGTTATGACCATTGTATTCTCTTGACAAAATTCTATCAGCCTATGCCCTGCTTCATTTTGTACTCCAAGGCCAAACTTGCCTGTTATTCCGGTTATCTTTTGGCTTCCTACCTTAGCATTCCAATCTCCCATGATGATAAGGACATCATTTTTTGGTGTTAATTCTATAAGGTGCTGTAGGGCTTCATAGAACCGGTCAATTTCATCATCTTCAGCACCAGTGGTTGGGGCATAGATTTGGATTATTGTGATATTGAATGGTTTGCCTTGGATTCGAATTGAGATCATTCTGTCATTTTGGGGATTGTATCCCAGGATTGCTTTTCCTATTCTTTTATTGACTATGAAGGCTACTCCATTTCTTCTGAGGGATTCTTGCCCACAGTAGTATACCTGATGGTCATCTGAGTTAAATTCACCCATTCCTGTCCATTTTAGTTCGCTGATTCCTAAGATGTCGATGTTCAGTCTTGTCATCTCTTTTTTTAATTATGTCTAGCTTGCCTTGATTCATGGATCTTACATTCCAGGTTCCTATGGAGAAAAAATCTTTACAGCATTGGACTTTCCTTTCACCACCAGATATATCCACATCTGAGCGTCCTTTCGGCTTTGGCCCAGTCGCTTCATTCTTTCTGGCGCTACTAGTACTAGCCCTCTGCTCTTCCCCAGTAGCATATTGGACACCTTCCGACCTGAGGGGCTCATTTTCCAGCGTCATATCTTTTTTCCTTTTAGTACTGTCCATGGGGTATTCATGGCAAAGATACTGGAGTGGTTTGCCATTTCCTTCTCCAGTGGATCACATTTTGTCAGAACTCTCTGCTATGACCTGTCCTTCTTGGGTGGCCCTGCACGGCATAGCTTATAGCTTCATTGAGTTACACAAGCCCCTTCGCCACGACAAGGCAGTAATCCATAAAGGGGATAGTTTTAGTTAGAGATATACAAAGATCTGATACTGTATTCTGCATTTGGAAACCTGAAAATATTATTGAAAATTTTATAGAGATACAATAAATAAATGAATACATACATACAGGGTAATCCTGCCACTATACAAACATCATGTGAATGTTCTACACATTTCTAAAATATCCTTGTGGCACCAGGAAACCTATAAATTTTATCATTGGTAGTCACTAGGGCCATGAGTAATAAGAATTTTAACCCAACACAGATTGGAGAATGGCTATTATGAAATATCTTTAAGCCTCAGGATAACGGCAACAATAAAAAGATAATGACAAATAATGTATTTAATAATAAAATATTTAACAATAAACACTTGTCTGGATTAGTAGGATTAGTCTTCTTCATCTTCCTCCCCCTCTTCCTCTTCTGAACTTCTGTGGATAGAAAAGGAATACAAGATGATATTATAATGTCCTTATAAAACTACTTAGTCTTCTAAACAGTCGCTTCAACTTTTGTCAAGTTGAAGAGACCATTTATTATAATAGATCCAGAATTTTTATTCTTTTCTGACAAGAGCAAGAAGTTCAGTATTTCAGAGCTGTTGAATTTCTGCCATGCTGAGTAGTGACCATGCAGAAAAGAGCAGAAGAGAGCAACTATACATTACAAAGATCAAGGGAGTCCTAAGACTGGCCTGTCACAATTCTGCTTCTTGATTGCTCCTGTTTAGCTTTTCCAACTATTCAAGCCATTAAAGGTAGAAAGATAATAGAAAATCAATACCCGTTTTTTCGATTTTATGTCAGAGTCAATGACACTGCCAAAAAGGGCTTGAAAAGAATATTGAGAGATTATGAATAACTAGGCAGGATGGCAGGAGTTCAGAGCGCAAGCGGTGTTTTCATCCATTTTTCCAACAAAAGGTAGAATGGACACGTTGCTGTTAGTCCCTTTCTAAAAAGCAGAAAATCAGCAATGATGTCACTGTTTGCTTTCCTGTGAGCTTTTTCTATTGGTGCCTATCTTGCTAAGAGCTTTATTGATACACAACACACTGCCTCACGAGAAGTGAACTCCTTTATTGAATTAGCCCAGTTTCCTGGGTTGGCACAACCCCTGGAGATATAAACTAGCCAACCATATTTAGTATCTCAAGTGAACCCATCCTAAATCTGGATGCTAGGAAGACAGTTCAGGTCCTGAGAATATTAACCATTGTAGGAGCTGCTGTAAGAGGATTCTAATACAGAACGCAGGATGAGAAGCAATTTCAACAACGCTCGGATAGCCAGGCGCTCTAAGGGAAGAGGACTCATTAACCATCCATAGAATCTTCTCACAACAGCTACTTTGGGTCTGGCAGCATCACTTTCTGTCTAGGGTAGGGACAGGGAAAGAGAGAAGTGAAGCCCTAAGGTGAGCAGTAAAACAAACTTCCAGAAGCCTTCCAAGAAGACTGAGGAAAGAACTATCGTGCTTTGGCTTCTCTTTTTTGGCATGTTTGAATTAAATTTGTTGTTCATAACATTAATGTTTTAAGCTGCCTGGAATTACCTTATGTGAGTTGGGCACTTATACACATTTGTTTAATAAATAAATGAAGATTTCTGTGTCCCTGTAAACAAGCATCTGTGCTCAATGAAAGTTATTTCAATGGGAGGAATAAAATGGGTGCAGCTAAAAAACAGAATATGGTTTATTCCTAGTAAACCAGTGTTTGGAGGGATTCTTACTATGGCATCCCAGTGTAAATGTACTTAGGAGTAAAACACACTATATTCTCTGGGGTTCAACTGTGAATTGGTTCTATAGATCAGGATGCATATTCCTACATCAAAATCAGAATTGTAATAGGCAGAACACAATGCTATCTTGCCTACCGAGATACTTTAATGAGTCCTTTGAGTTTCCATTTGTTTTTTCCCCACTTCCTACCCTTTCTCAACAGTCCTCGAATCTTTTTCTCTAGTTTGCCAACTGAGGTTCATCCCATACTTTCTGTCCTGAGCAGTAAAACTAATTACTAGTATGCAGTATATCGCAGGTTAACTCTGCTCACAGCAAGGAGTTACAGTGCAAGGTTGACTATCCTTTTCTCCTCCCGAGGTTGGTATTGCTCCCAACAATATTTTCCCCATACTGCTGGGAGCATTATTCTGATACTATAAATAGCTCAGAGAGTGCTGCAGAAGCACTGTAGGGTGGTATACAAGTCTACGTGCTTTTGTTAATTCTGTTGCAGGATACTAGCTTCTTTGCCAGAAAGCAACAATTGACTTCTAAATCTGCATTTCCAGATTCTATTAAACTGAGCTAATATGAAAACATCATTATATATTTTAACAGACATGGAAAAATATGATCCCCCAAACTGAACATATTAAGAAAATCTAAAACCACCTAAAAATAATTGATGCTCGATGCTAATCTTTCATATCCACCAAGTGTATCTTTACTTTGTATGTCCTGTATTCTAGCCACGAAGCCACACAAAAGAAAATCCTCTAGGAAAAAAATTCTCTATCCCTTCTTTATATTTTTATCCATTTGGAGTTAGAGTTAGAAAGGAATAATAGTTTTATTTTTTTATGTTTCATTTTAGATTTCATACTATTTTAATTATATAGCGCTCTAGCGGAGAGCTTTACTAATTTACCAAGCATTTCCATTTCTAAAAAGAGCCATTTGTTAATACCTTATTGCAGCTTTTGTGACTATTCTTCAAAGAGCAAATATAAGATCCAATTTAAATAAAATGCAAAAGCAAAACCGGAAAAGCCTCCAAACTGTTAGAATCAGATAGATAGAAAAATGATGGGACACTGCATCCACGTGTATACAACACAAACATACAATGAACGTACAACAAAGGAGCATCTGCTCCCTTTTGTAATAGGTGTTTGATATTCCAGAACTGGAAGTGGTAAAAAAGTTTTGCTCTTTTCTAGTCTTTCTCCTTCCTTTTCCTATTTCCTACTAGAACTTCTTTCTACTGATGAACAATGAAATAAGCAAGTTATGAGATGTTTTACACATTAAGTATCCTATGAATGTGGATCTGCAAATGCATTCTGAACCACTTCAAAAGTCTTAGAGATACATAATCCCGACTTGCACACTGAAGCCACTTACCCCTTCTTTGAAGTGCCTTCAGTCCCTTCTTCTTCTGTTCCTGAAGCCCTGATTAAAAAAAAATTAAAAGCCAAATTTAAGTATTGCTCTGGGAGCAGTTGAATATTTTATCATCACCTGGCTGGTCAGCTTGGCCTAGTGATTTATTGTTTATTTATTCGATTTAATTCCACCCATCTTGTTCCAAAGCAGCCCTGGGAGGCTTCCAGAATTGAAAGCATTAAAACCATCAAAGATAAATATTTCTAAGATGATAAAAATGAAACTATAATCAAAGACAAAGTTAATAAATAAAAGATAACTAAAAGATATAAGATGGGGAAGGAGTAGGATGCTCAGTGGGGGAGGGAGGTGGGATTGTCTCCTAATTCATCAACTACCTCCTGGGTGATACTCCCCTCTTCGGGCCCCCAGCCATCTGGCAGAGCCAGGTCTTCAGGCCCTTGTGGAAGGTCAGAAGGGTGGGAGCTAATCTCACCTCAAGAGCTAAGATGTTCCAAGGGGGAGAAGCCATGGTAGAGAAGGTGCCTTCTCCTAGACTCCACCAGCCAACATTCCTTGACTGACGGGGCCTGCAGCTTGCCTCCTCTGCTGGCGTGGGTGGATTGGGCCAGCCTCAGTGGAGCGAGACCGTTCCTCAAGTAACCTTGACTTATGCCATGCAGTCAGGTTGGAACATAGTTTGCAGATAAATTAATGTGTGGCACAAGAGGTCAATCCTCTTTTGGGCCCAGCATTAAAAGCATTGTCCAAGGCACTTCTCCATCCCTATTGTGCCAGCAAGAAAATCAATTTTGTAGCATCATTAACTCAGTTCCCATATAGAGTAAGAGGATTTCATAAAATCTTCCCTAATGGGGACACCAAAAATAAATTATGCCTCCATGGGAGGGAGGCACTCTCTGCTGTTCAGATTTGGGCAGCAAATTATTTTGGGCAGTGTTATGTATTGGTTTAAAAAGTTATGATTGCTATGAACAGTTGTTATGTTATATTTGAAAGAGTCTCCAACTGTTTCGGGGGAAAACTGCAGTCTGAAAATAAGCTGGAAAATATCCCTCAAATTGATTGGTCGCCACCTAGTGGCGGCAATGTATAAATAGCTGTGGGTGTGACAGACTTCACTTCTGTTTTCAGCAACAAAGAACAGTTGTTTTACATAGGTCTGGTCTATGTCTCAACAAACTTAATACACAATAGTGGCAACAAAGGTGGGATGCTGCTAAGAAGAGAGAGAGCTGAAGCAGCCAGAAGTCACTAGGGTGTGAGACCAGGTACCAGAGCCCTGATAGGAACCACATCCCCATCCTGCCTGCCAGTTAAGCCGCACTGGAGGCAGAGTCTTCCTGAGGGATCCATCCCCAGGATTCACTTAGCAGCTCCTAGCAGTAGAAGGCATTGACCAAGACCCCGTTTAGCATCAGCTATGGACAAAGTGGGCAAGCTGAACAAATTTGATGTTTCTCATCCTGAACAATGGAGCTCCTACGTCTCCAGGGTGGATAACTACCTGCAGACCAACCAGGTGAGAGACAGTGGGTTGAAGGCAGCAACCCTTCTCTGCGGGACAGGCGCCATTCGATATCGCGGAGAACCTGATTGCCCCAGCCAGTTTAGAATCAGTCACATACATTGATCTGAAGAGGAGGCTAAAGGAACATATTGAACCCAGGCTGTCCATTATTGCTTGGCGGCATGCATTTGAGCAAAGAGAGCAACAGGCAGGGGAGTCAGCAGCCAAATTCGTGGCTGCACTAAGGTAAGCATCAAGACCCTGGGTTTCCTGACACAACACAAGGGAACTTAAGGACAAAATCAAGTCCATGGATAGGAAACTTGAATCCTTTCAAGTAGATAATGAAAAATGAAATGGAGGAAAGGATAGACAAAGAAGAGCAAATAGTAGATGAAATGAATGAAAGATTAGTTCAGGTTAACAAAGAATTAGAAGCTACAGTTATTTCTCTGGAACTTGAGAAGGCTGCTCATTATTTACGGTTCCAAAATGTAGGTGAGATGAAAGGTGAAGATCTGCCAGTAATAATGTCAGATATACTAGCGGGAGCTCTGGGGTCCAGCAGAGAGGAGATGGCCAGTGAGATAGATGAGACTTACAGAATCCACACGAACTATGCAAGATGGCACAATCTTCCCAGAGAAGTACACTTCAGATTTATTAAGAAATCAGTTAGAGATGAAATTCTCTTCAGGTTCAGAGATGACTCATTGGAATACTGAGGTAAACAGCTGATTGTACTTAAACAAGTACCTAAAAGAGTGAGAGACTTGAGAAAGCCCTACCAACAAATAACTTTTAAACTGATGAGGAAAAATATTAACTTTAGATGGTTGACCCCGGAAGGGATTCTGGTTACATGGCAGGAGAAAAAGTTTTGCTTAGACTCAATAGATAAAGCAGAGGAATTCTATAGATAAGAAAGTTGGAATAACATTAGGAGATGAAAATTTGGAAATTCAGATTAAAGATCAGAACCGTGCTCATATTAAAAGAATTTAGAACGAGTTAATAAAACTGGACTCAGAAACAGAGTTAGTAAAAGATTGTATGATTAAATGGGCCCAGAATATCCAGGAACCAATTTTATTGGATTTATGGGAGACTATTTGGATTAGAAATGTTAAATTTACACAGGCCGAAAATTTGAGGGAAAATTTTTACAAAATGTTTTTATAGGTGGCATTTGGATCCTAAAAAACTGTCTTGTATGTATCCTAACTTACAGGCCTAATTTTGGAGGTGTGGTAGTACTGATGCAACTTATTTTCATGTTTGGTGGACCTGTAAAAATGTTAAAACTTTTTGGATAATGATTTGGTGGAACATTCAAAAGATTTTTAAAAAGAAGATAAAGTTCACTCCTCAATTATTTTTATTGGGTATTTTTATGGATTTAGATGTTAATGAAACTATTTTAATGTTGAATTTAATAACTGCAGCAAGGTTACTTGTAGGTTTATACTGGAAGAAGGATTCGTTGCCTACTATAGAAGAATGGATATTCAAGGTTTCCAATTTAGCAGAAATGGCAAAGATTTCTGCTTATTTAAAGGAGCATACACAAGAAAAATATATGGTATGGAGAAGATGGATAGATTATATTCCGAATAAATATGGAACTTTAAAGTTCCATTTATTTTATGATTAATTTTTTTCTTGAAATAATAATTATTAGTTATAGAATTTTATAATAAATGATTTATAATAGATTCATTTACATTATTATGATGTTAAAGTTTAGAGGGAGTTAAGGGTTAAATATGAATTTGTTTATTGTACAAATTTTTTTGTTTTAAAAGCTATAGATTATGTTTGTTTTGTTTACAATAACCCTGTATTCTGCTCTGGGAAGTGGTGGGGTAGGGGGGATGGGTGGGATTAAGTAGGTTAGATAAACAGAAATATTAATGTATAAAATAGGTAGAGTAATTTAGAGAGAGGTGCCGCTCGGGTATTTCCCCTGAACTGTATCCGAAGAGGGATGAGAGGGAGGAGGAAGGGATGGAAGGAAGTAGGATAGGAGGAAGGGATGAGGGGAGAGAGGTGAAGAGAGGAGAGAGGGAGGAGGGAAGTAAGGAAGGAAGGTAGAGAGGGCGGATGCAGTCGGGGGGGAGATGGACGAGCGACACCTAAGGTTATATGTATGAATTTATTTTAAAGGTATTTTTATAATGTATTGAAAGTATTAAATGTATGGAAAAATGAAAAATAAAACTTTTTTCAAAAATAAAAAAGGATGAACTTAGATATAATTATGCTACAAGAAGTTCATACAAAAAAACAGCATCAATATTTATTAAACTATCCTAAATTGGGAAACATGTTTGTGGCACTTTTGCAATACAAGAAAGGAGGAGTGGTAGCATATATTAAACAGGAAATTTTGGCAAAGCAAATTTATAAAGATGAAGAGGGTAGAATTTTAATAGTGGAAGTAATTTTGAATAAAATTAAAATTCTCCTGGTGGGAATTTATGCCTTGAATGAGGGGCAAAAACAATTCTATAAAAAAACTTCATAACAATTGGAATTAATCAATTGGAATATTGTAACATTTGTATAATGGGAGATTACAATGCAATTGTGGATAGAAACCTAGATTATAAATGTGGAAAGAGTAGAAAAAGAACCAGAGGAACAATACCTGATACATTCCTAAAAATGGCAGATGAGCTCAATATTCAGGATACTTGGAGAGAGAGGAATTTAGGGAAAAAACAGTTTACATTCTACTCTGGATGTCATCAATCATGGTCCAGAATTGATATGGTTTGGATGTCAGCTTAAATTTAGAGGTAGAGGAAATTGTAATTGTTATGAACTCCTGGACTGACCATAATCTAATTAGAATTAGATGGAAAGGGCAAAAAAATATGAGAAGATGGACTCTGAAAAGAGCAATCCTAAAACACAAAGAATTTAAATTGAAATTGGAAGAACAAATGGACCTGTTTTTTAAGACAAATAAAAAGGAATATATGAATTGCCAAAACTTATGGAATACAGCCAAAGCCTATATGAGAGGCGTTGCAATTTCTTACATGGCCAGGGAACACAAAATCAAAACACAACGACAAAGACACTTAGAAGAAAAACTAAGTAGAGTTGAGGAAAACTTACAAAAGGAACCACAAAGACACGATTTGAAACAACAGATAGACCTAATTAAGCATAAGATGAATATTATTGGGAAGGAAGAATTAGGACAGCAGATAAAAAGTACTAATCAAAATTTCTTCAAAAATGCCAATAAACCAGGGAGATGGCTGGCTTATAAAATTAAAAAACATAATAACAAGCAGAGGATTGCTAAACTTCATAATGCAGAAGTTGATGTGGTGTACCAGAATGAAGGAAAGAAATTAGTGGCATATGAGTTCTATAAGAACTTATACAAAGATGATGAATGGAGAAATAATTATGACATTGTACAATATTTACAATCATCTGACCTACCGAAAGTGCCAGAAGAATTTAAAACTCTGTTGAACAAAGAGATAACACCTTTAGAACTCTTGGAGGCAATCAA